GACACTGCTTATGTATAGGAATATAAAAAAGATGAGTGGGTGTATTTTGACCATTTTAGGGTGGTTGTGTACACACTTTGCTGACACACATTTATGTTCAAACACCCTGTAAAAGAGAAGTTTGCACAAATGGTGCCCTTAAATGTATCATTCGTGTCCATGGCAAAAAACAGTACATTGCAAGATGCTAAGAACCAATCGAAACACCTCAGCAACCCCATAGCAACTGGTAACCACTCTGGTAACTACCCATAACACCCTGGCATCATGATATTTCTATATTTATATTTCACATTTCATATTTCTATCCTCTCTTGATTAAAAAATACTGTGTGTCTGATATTGCTTGTGTTAAGATGCAATCACAAGTCAGCTATCAAGTAAACTATTAAATAATGTTTAGATAGGCTATGCATTTGCACCCTACCAGGACTGCTCCATCATCCCAGCAAACTGGGAACATTCTTAGAACATTCTGACAAGGTTCTCGCATAGTTATGAATAAATGTTCCTACATTAACATTAATAGAATGTTTGTTCAAAATTATCTGGTCTTTAATAATGTTTGCAAGATGTTACCACAAAAATTATTTATGCATCGTTCATGGAATTTTGTTCTGAAATATTTTAGCCATTTTTTAAACGGTTCTCTTTACGGTTTCCTATCATTTTCCCTTGCAAATGATAATATTGAATGTTCTTTGTATGTTTCATTGTAACATTCGCCCAACTAAGAAATGTGTTTTTAAAACATTGAAAATACTGGACATTTTGAATGTTGAATGAATATTCAAAAATTAGATCTTCATAACTTAATCGGAACATTAGCAAAGCATTCGTATAACATATTTTTGTTATATCTAATAGTTAGAAACAAGACATTATTAAAGATAGCTGAACTGATACCATTGCTTTAAACAGAACCACTCACAGAAAGCAAAGCTAATGATACAATCCCATTCAAGCTTTGTTTTCCAGAAGCAATCATTCATGACAGACATTTTGGCATGTCTGAACATCCATTAATATTCACTAACTGCTTCCCTTGTCAAACACATACATGTTCACAGGAAGCACTCTTCATCAGAGGTGTTTTTTCAGAACGAGGCCAGAGTCCTGATCATCCACTTCAGGAAGTTCCTCTTGGTGTGAAGGGGCCGTTGTGTGAGCGAGGGCTTCCTGTCAGTATGTGACGGCGTGGGGTGGTCTGGATGAGACCCGAGACTGACAGGCACCGTCACAGGCAGCTCTTGGCTTCACAACCACTGCCACATCTTCAAAAAAAAAAAAGCCCAGGTCAAGGGCCAAGAACTTTCCTTTCACAGAGGGCTCTGCTTTAACCCTCTTTACATACCAGGAAAAAAGGTAGAAAGAAACAGCTACAAAATACTAAGGATAAAATAGCATCAAATAAGACTTACACATGAAGTACACATGAAGAACATATTCAAAGGCAATTGGGTTGCAAGAGAAGTGTTTCTGACATGTAGATGGGTGGCAGAGTTGCACTGGATCTTACAATATAAGCTCAAATGTTGAAACTCATAAAATGGCTAATGAAGAGTCTTTCATTTAAAGCCCCTGTTAGTCTGTTGCAAAAATAGATCAAACGAAAACCACTTTTCCGTTATCCTGTTGAGAGGGATCTTAACTTCTGTCTGTGTCTAATCAGCCATTTGGGAATAGTGATCTCAACAGAGCTTTGAACACCGTCCCTTTATAGAGAGCAAACTGATAACTGGACCTGACTGACCACAGTATCATCTTTAGATGGGACGCCTACAGACTGTCTGATGTAGATTGCATGGTACAACTTCCATTAGGTAGTGTGCACAGGCTTTGGGGTGAGAAATATGAGAAATGTCCAGGTTAAAGGTGCTCTAAGCGATGTCACACGTTTTTTAGGCGCAAACATTTTTTTGTCACAACATTTTCTGCGGCAACCCGCTCCACGAAACATAACAAACTGTTCCAGATTCTCATTAATGCAAATCTAAAAAAATAAATAAAATGAAATAAAATACAAATTTCATCATGCCTTTTAATAAGTCAAGTTCTCTAAATGAACCTGCAGAGGGTGTAGAAATTTATGAATGATGGCTGGTGAAAATTCGTTTGACTTTTCTGCCAAGTTCTATGGGCACAGATTGCGTGAATTGAGGAATTACCATTCACTGTAATTTACCCTCAGTCTGAAGAACTGCATGCCAGCACTGTCTGTTTGTCTGTCAGCTTAAGTGTTTTCAAGAAATAAATGAACGATGGCAAACATGAACATGGGCGTCCAGTCTTCAGGGCATTCATCAAAGCTTGTCCTGATTTCCTGAATAGCAGTCGACACAAAATTTAGGCTTGGACTTTTGACTTCTGGTTTGGCAGAAAAGGGCTCAATTTTATAGCTATATGTGACACCACAGCACAAGCCAAAGCATTTTATGTTTCTGTCTTACACAAGAAACACTTTTTATTCAATTCTCTTAAGCTCACAGATTGATAGAACAAGTTCAAAGTTCATGTCTAACAAGACTGTTCACTATAGCACACATTCGGCACTGCAAGGCAACGTTCTCACGCTTGAAAAAATATTAATTGGAGGTAAAATGTGAGATCAGACATAAGATAATTCCCTAAAAATATGCTTTTTAAATGTTAGTATGCAAAATATGTGTTGAAAATGAGATTACGTTCAAAGCTGATTAGCTTCTTATTCCCTTTTAGATGAAGTGCAAAGTTCAAGTCTGATTTCACAAAGCTGGATTTTGTGAGTGAGTTTGATTTCAAAATATGACTAATTTTTGAAACTTAAATTGAATTTAGTTAAAAGCAGTACTGTTAACAAATTATAGGATACATTTCCATTAGCCTTGTTAGCTAAGCTAGCAGGCTAAACAGCCAATAGCATACCCAAATAATGATGTACACATGAATCAGGGATGATAAAATCCACAATGGATAAAAATAACTATACAGGATCACCTAAAGACCACAATTGGAGTCAAGACCGCACATGACCCAGACCAAGACTAGATCGCTCAAGGCCTAGATCCAGATCAAAACATTGCTGAAAAGGCAAGCTAATCCATAGCTATACAACACAATTTGTCACACTAAATTACACTGGAGCATTTCAGTATCATATTTTCTGAATATGAACCATATTTCCTTTTCGTGTTCACATATTTCAAAGACGCTTAAAGTGCTGGATGTTGCAGATAAACACACCACAAGAAAAATCATATTAGGACATGTATTCCAACACGCAAAAACCTGGCAGCGTTTCTTACCAAATGCCTACAATTTAGAGGAAAGAGGTGATTTAGGTGCTCGCATATTTGGCAGTTCATCTTTCAGAATCTTTTAGCATAAAATTGCTGCTAAATTTGAGGCACACATTCCTTGATAAATGTGATTAGGGGGCTGCGGTTTTCCCTGGAAATGCGCATTTGATGCAAAGCAACACGAGTCAAAATCTATCAATCCGTTCATTTAGAAGACTAAAGGAGAAAAAGCCACAAGAGGGAAGATGAGTTCTCCACACTTAGCGAAAAAGAACAACTTCTTCCCTTGATTTCAGTCTGACACTTCCCCCTCCCAAATACTTTTTCACTTTCCATAAAATAAATACACAAAACGGAAAATGCTTTTTACATCTGTTGTAACTAAAAGTTCAAACAGGCTGCTAATCCCCAGTAACTCGACTCAGATTTCTCAAGCAGGCAGTGCATACTTCACTGCATACTTCATCCTGCTGGCACTGAGGGCTCTCACATCATCACCCTTCACTAGGCTACCTCACTTCTGACTCTGAGAGCTATTCATAAGTCCGAACATGTTTAGATGGACAAAAATAGCTAATTTCTATGATCTATATTGCATTTGAGACCATAACCCATGCCCCCTAGCTCTGACCATCAGTATATGGCTTGCGTGTCCATCCACCCTTAAGAAAGCATTGCGTCAGATGAAGGGGGAAGCCCCGGTCTCTGCACGTCAGAGCTGGGACAACCTCTCCCGTTCACACCCCAACAATCACAGACAAAACAACAATGTCAGAGTGGGTGTGTGTGTGGCTGAGTGTGAGCATTGCATTGTAGAACCACCTGATTGACAGAGGTAAAGGAAGGTGCTTTTAGTGTAATTACAATCAGGGTGGAGACATGTAGAACCATATTCTGAAAAAGCTTTAGTTATCACAGGGGTCCCACAAAACGTCCTTTTAAGCTGAACCTTACATTCGGTAAGTGATAATTAGCTGTTCCGATGGACGGCAATGCACCTCCTGTCGTTTCACTGTAGGATAAAGGGAGGCTTTTCCTTCTGATGTTGTCATCTGTGCCACACATTTAAAAGCACATTTGCTTGTTTAAAGTCCCCTCAGGTTATGTTTCCCCTCAATAAATGGATTACAGAAAAATGCCTAACATCTGTAACTGTCCTGAAAGGGACTTATAAAACATTTAGTCAGTCCTTTTGTCTGTACATGAGCTGTCATCAATGTGCAATGCAAAGTTTGATTTGTCTTATCTAATTGAACAAATATATATATATATATATATATATATATATATATATATATATATATATATATATATATATATATATATATAAAGGTGGTGATGGGTATCATACGGTAATATCAAGCCGGTAACATTTTAGTTTAGGGTCCAATTCTCACCATTGACTAGTTGCACTAGCATGCATATTATTAGGATATTGGCTGTATATATTAGTACGTATAAAACACCCAATACCTAAACTAACTACCTAACTAACTATTAATAATCAGTTACTGAAGAGTTTACTGACGTAAAAGTAGTAATAGTTAGTTATAATAGTGAGAATTAGACCCTGCTCTATCTATCTATCTATCTATCTATCTATCTATCTATCTATCTATCTATCTATCTATCTATCTATCTATCTATCTATCTATGGTATATTTCATATTTTTTCACTATTACATTCTATCATCATTAGTGTCTGAAATGAAAGTGTCATACCTGTGTCTGCTCGATGCTCTCGCCCCGTTTAAAGGCTGAGTCTGAGTCTGGGTCCCTGCGTACAGGTTATACCGCTGAGGATACGACGCGCTCCAAACATCTCCAGAGAAAACCAACACCAGCATCGATATCAAAAGAACTGCTCCATCCATCACAGCGCAGGTCGGTCTGCAACAGTGTCTAACACTATATAACTAATGAATTCTCTCGAACGAGCTTTTACTCCACCAAAAATAGCGCTTTCGTGGTGTCTAGAGGAGCTTCTTTACACTCCCAGAAGTTCGTACTATCGATCCATTATACGCGCGTCCCGAGCGCTGCTTCCAGAAGTGTCGGATAAATCTCTCAAATCGACGCGTAACGGTGCTTTCCCTCCTTTTGCGCTGATAAAACAACCTGAACTCCCTCTATCCTTCTTTTGAATGGTTTGTAATATTTGTCGGTACATCCAAACAAAGCAATCCGGAGGCTTCCTGAAATCTGGAGGAGTTTTCTTGGAAAGGAGATGCAGTTTGGATTGAGGGGAGCCAGTGCGCTCTGACGCACTCCAACGTCCCCAACATACACACACTCTCTCTCTCTCTTTCTCTCTCACCTCCCTCCCCTCTAGAAACCCTCCCTTCAGTGCACTGATGACAGAATCACAGCCATCTCTGCTTAAAAACCAACAGGACCACGTGTGTGAATAGTAGGGGTGATTATGAAATCTCAGTGACATACAAGGTGAATAGCATTGATTGAAACCATATGGCCTCTTGATAGAATGGCTGATGTCCCACATCTGATCTTTCTTGTGGTTACCTTAGGTGAAGAGAGCAGCTTTAGTGCTTTTGAGAGCCCACTACAGAAAGTTTAACTTTTTTGAGCAGTTATTCTAATAATTCTTAGTTTTATTGACGTTCAGTCACGATCAAAAATCTCACTAAAATCTGTCAGAAACATATATATATATATATATATATATATATATAGGCTATATATATATATATATGATTTATCACAACTTTTTTTTCTTTTGTCAAATTAACTTTTTTTAAAAGTTAAAGACAATTAATATGGTTTGGATAATATAACATTTTAAAATGTATGTTGATTAAATCACCTTCATTGTATCAACTCAATTTATTTTTAATGAACTCGAAATAAAGGCAAAAATGTAACATTTTTTAAGTTAAACCAATATATTTTTTTATATTTCACCCAAAGTTAAAAGTAAGAAAAATAAGAAATTATGTTAATTATTTCCATGATTATTAAGCACTTTCTTATTGCTATAATTTGTAAACTATTTATACATGCGGTTGGTATTATTGTTCTGTAATTTTTGCTGATAAAATTAGTAAAATGTTGAATTACATTAATCAGTGATGCTTAAAATATTAAACAATGATAATTTGTGCAAAATGAGCTTAATAGCCATGAAAAAAACACTATTTTCTTAAAATAAAATATAATTTATTGTTTGTAGCGTGAAATATTAACAAAACTACATTGGATTACCCATGTAGGCAGCTCGCTAAGTTTTAAGACAGACGATGTGGAAATGTGAAGTTTTATCATTATTATTTGACCTATTTTATCCCCTTTTTCTGAATTATCTGTAATGTTTATGCTGATTAAAGGATTTTTAGAGAAATCAAAAATAGTTCACATTTGCCGTAAATGTCAGCCAACTGTGTGCTATTTAAAAAAAATGTTAATGGCCTCTATTTTAAAACAGATCTCAGTTGAAAGTTTAAAGAATGTTTCTCGCTGGTTTATCTCTGAAAGATCTATCTTTTCCACTCCTTTGAAGCCCTACAGCTGTGAAAAACTATTTGTTACACTTTCCAAAAGTGGGATGGCTTTAGGGCCAAAAAAAGCGAGAGAAAATAGCAAAGCAGCCTGCTGTTCAGTTCTTCAATACAGGAATGTAAACCAAACATCTGTGGTTTTGAAGACAATGGTAAACTGCATTAAAAATGAAGAAACTGAATATGAACACAGAGGAGTGAACCATAACGTCTGTGTGAAAGGAAAAAGACATACAGACAGAGGTAAGGGGCAGCGAGCCGAGCTTTTCTGCTGTCACTCACAGAGTGTGCAGACAGTATAAGGCGGAGAAGCATTTCAGTAATGCTCTCTGTTCTACCACAACCACCTGTAACGGTGCCCTGATTTGACCTCAGGCACCAAACAGACCCCCAACTCGCCTAATTTACCACCACCCAGCATGTTCAGGCAAGCAGAGCAACAGATCTAGTCTTATTTGATAAATAAATGCAGATTAAACTGCATTTAGGAAATCCTGACTGTCTTTGTACCAGCGTTACATCCGCTTCAGCATGAATCCACAGTCAGTCTTTTGTGCTCCTCTGTCAGAATAATTCGACAGGCTTCTCACCAATAAAAAGAAACCCTGCCTCGGGGTGGGTAGTGCAGTGGCAGTGAGGGTCATTGAAGTGTCAATAAGAAAAGGCTAAGCTGATGATGCAGCCGGTTAAATTTAGTCAGGGAGATCTGGTGAGCGGGAGATTCTGTGTGGTGGCAGCGCACAGTTAAACACTGTAATCATTAAACAGAAACACATGTTTCTTAAAGAGAAAATATATACTTACAGAGCTCTTTTATTTTCCTAATAAAAGTATACGATTGGATGGCTGGCTGTTTAATTAAAAAAAATACCTTGCTCCAAAAGATCACCTCCAGTAGCAGTACTGAAATGTATTATGGCAATTATTATGCAAATAAAATAAAATGGTACAATATAATATAATATGACATAATAACTTCAATATATATAGAGCCTGATCCTCTAATAAATGTTTATAAATAAATAAATATACACTCATATAAAGAATTATAAGGAACACTATAATACTGTGTTTGACCACCTTTCGCCTTGATTCATTGATTCAACAAGGTGCTGAAAGCATTCTTTAGAAATGTTGGCCCATATTGATAGGATAGCATCTTGCAGTTGATGGAGATTTGTGGGATGCACATCCAGGGCACGAAGCTCCCGTTCCACCACATCCCAAAGATGCTCTATTGGGTTGAGATCTTGTTACTGTGGGGA